GAGAAAGAGAAGAAGTCATTACGTCATGTTGCCATGGTCGCAAAATTTCTGGATCTCAACAATCCGTGGTCTTGTAAATATGGCCGAAAAAAAGGAAGAACTGAATTTCCTGTGCACGATTGCGCTAAAGAACAAAGCGATAGCCCTTACGTTTTGAGATCCAGAAATTTTGCTTCGATGGTAACGTAAGGTCAAATTTCTCTTCTCCATACTCGCCCTGGTCATATATTGAAGAATATTGAGACTATTACTAAAATAAGGCACGATTTGCTAAATTTGTGTGGGATAATACTGGCTTCAATCTCACCAACAGAAAAACAGACTTGACTTCAGTAAATAGTTTTTCTTACAATTTTACTAGACATGTATACAAAAACTAGTCATAACCTCTTTGACCGTCTTCGCTAGAAGAATTCTCAGTTTAGGTTCGGGAGCCGGATTTATGACGCGCCAATATATTTAATTCCATTGTTTGACGCAAAATGGTAAAAGGTAATCAAATGTATACACCGTCATCATCACAACATTTGACATAAGCCATCAAAAAATTATTTGAATAATTACTTAACTCAAAAATTAAACTGCATAAAGTTATTGTTCAAAAAGCACGATAACCTATAGGCAAATTTCAAACCTGCTTTAAAGCCTAAAATATGTGTTTTTTCTAACCTAGTTAGTTGCTGTCATTTGTTTACAGATCTCAGTAAACAATAATGCTTATCAGCCGAAAACATCAAAGCAAAATACAGTATGATAATAATACAAAAAAAAACTACTTCTAATTTGCACGCAGGCCCACGGAAAATAACACACTAAATTAGCCTGCCACGGCTAAAAAAAATCCAAACATAGTGTGAAATGTCACAAACAATCAACTCAAATGTATTTAAAATAATTCTTTGAGATAAAATAGAATTAATGTACAAGGATTTACAATGGCTTACAAAGAAGCGATATAAAATATAGCGGAAAAGGAAAAAATCTACTGACATATCTTTGAATTGTTCAACCAACAGGACAGAAGGGTGCGGCAAAGATGAGATTTTCTAGTAAAAATGGAACAAAACTATTGTTGTTTAGATAACTGGAATTTATATTTTCTTTCCCTAACACTTTGGAATAACACTAAACTCGATAGAAAAGGATTTTCTTATAGCGCTCATTGTACGAAGGAAGAAGAAAATGATCACGTAACAACGGCATCCAAACATGGTTTCAAGTCTGATATTGCAAAACGATTTAAATGCTGTTTTCTTACACTTAAAAAATAATAAAAAATGGAACAAAATATCCCTTTTGAAAGAAAGTCCATTATTTGCGTCTGCGCAAACGGCAAAAGACAAGCATGAGGTGAGTTGAACCACCAACCGCATGCACAATGCAAGGGGGTACGGAATGGCCAAACTATATTTTTTTACTGGTGGGAACAGATTTATGGTAAAAAAACAAAAAAAACAAATGAATAAATCAAAATAAAAATGAAAACAACAAAATACAATTTCTCTGTTAAAACGTTTTAAAAAGTTTTTAAAAAACTGAAGCTTAACATTTTTCCACTGTTTTTCCCTGTGTCTTTTTTAGTAAATCTACCAATGGGGACAGGGCGGCGTCGTGCAAGCCGGTGAATAAAATTCTATTTTTGAAGACACACAAAACCGGTTCAAGCACACTGACTAATATCCTAAATCGCTACGGAGATGACAGAGATCTTTTGTTCGCTCTACCCGTGGAAGAGAAAGCCTACCACTTCTTCTGGCCTCGATCATTCAAGCTTCGTTATACTACGGTGTTTGGCAAGGCACCAAATATCCTATGTAATCACGCCAGGTATAACAAGGCCCCCATGAACTGGCTATTTCCAAAGGAAACAACTGTCTATATAACGATGTTGAGGGAACCATCAGCGCATTTTGAATCTATATTCAATTTTTTTCGACTCGGTAAACGTTTCAAAGAAATAGGAATGCTTAAGACTCCACTGGCCAGTTTTCTACTGAAAGCAACATTCTACTTCGAGCAAGTGAAGCACAACTTATCTGGTGCGTTAAACTTGATAAAAAATCCTTCATTGTTTGAGCTGGGATTTGACCCAGTGTATCACGAAAACTCTACCGTGGTAGAAAACTACATCCGTTTTCTGCAGAAAGAGTTTGATCTTGTAATGCTGATGGAGTACTTCGATGAGTCGTTAGTTCTCTTAAAACGACGTCTCTGTTGGAAAATGGAGGACATTCTCTACTTTAAGCTCAATGAAAGGGTGCAGAAGGAAAAGCAAAATGTTCCAGCCTGGGCTAGGGAGGAAATAAAGAAGTGGAACTCAGGAGATGTGTTATTATATGATGCATTTAACAAATCGCTTTGGGAAAAGATAAAGGAAGAAGGACCAGAATTTTACAAGGACCTCGCACTTTTTAGAAAAGCAAAACAGGCCATGGAAGAAGCCTGCTTAAGAAAGGGAAAATTTTTGACGAAACCTTATACTGGAAGATTTGTTCAAGGTTACGCTGTAAAAACCGATATTTCAAAAGAGCTGAATGAAACTTGCAATAGAATGATCACGAACGAAATACCTTTCTTAGAACATCATCGTAACAAACTGATTAAGTTCTATCAAAACACTGACAACACTACATTCAATCAAATGACCTTTTGAACGGCCTTTGACGCAAGACGAGTAAATTTCACCACCAAGAACCTCGTTTGTGAAGTCTTTTCTTTGCACTTGCCTCTTTGTGCGTGGGCATTCTTCTTAACTTTACTGCCTTGGGAATTCATTTATTCAAAACTTCGCTCATTTTTATTTTCAAAACGAGGACTGGTGGTGAAATTTGCTCGTATGCTGTAAAATTGCATATTAAGGACTATTGATACACGGGATGTAAACATGCATTCGCTGTTTCTGGACAAAGCGTGTGTAATTTTTGCATAGATAGAAACGGATACTGTTGACTCTCATGCAATCAAAAAGGAACGCTAACACACGATAAGTATAGGCGTCAAGTTGTTTTTTGTTGTTCTTTTGGCTTAGGAAGGAAAACTAGAGTTCATTTCATTTCACATACACACAACACAACAGGTACTGATTCAGTAACCAGTCTTACACATTGCTCAATGCAGATATTCTATATATACACCTCTTCTACAACATTCTGGAAGACTTTTGAAAACTTTTAATTTTTTCATATATATATATATATATATATATATATATATATATATATATAAATTGAAGAAAGTATAATACAACACAATTTCTTTAACCTTCAGCAAGCGTGTTAATTTGTTATATTAACGAATTGACAACTACGTAGACAGTAGCGTGAAACCAACTAATCGTTTGGTTTACTATGAAGCACAAGCCTGTTACCACCAAGAGAATAATGAGAAAGAGGGAATCTTAGGGCATTGGCCAGGATATGTGAATTTCACTTAATAAGCTACTATTAGAGGTTGTAATTAAACGGAAGTCTAATTCCTGGGACGTCAGCAAATTTCAGTTGATTGTTGGAAACATCATCAAGATCACGGGCGACTACCTCAAAGCAAAAAAAATGCAGAATATTGCAATGACGACTGTTGAATTCTCTCTTGACAACACTGAATAAAAGTTTGCGGTCCTCTCCGGCAACCAACTTCCGATTAATTTCAAGCGTTTAATTGGTCTAAAATCCCAAGGGCTAGACTGAGCGCTTCTCTCTGTCCATTATTCTCTCTTGATACTTGGTTACAGATCTCTGTGGTAGTTGACCTGACCCTACAAGGTATCCGAGAAAGTTTGGTGCTAGAGCAAAGCCACAGCTTGCGCAGGATATAATGGATGTTCGTAAGAGAGTAGAGGTGTGGATGAAGGAAAGATTCTTTAATTCCTTAACCGATCAATCAAGCTACAGCAGTTATTATTTTGGTTAATTCTGTTGCAATTGCCAAGTACAATGAACAACTCGATCGTCCTTTATACAACTCAGTGCAAGGGACAAAGACTGAGGTAGCAATGCAGAATAAAAATGTCATTTTGACGTTGCCTCAATCCTTAGTTGCTTGTATACAACTTTCAGTTACCTTTCAGTTGTTCGAAAGAGAGCAAACAGATGTTAGCAAACTACCAAAGGAAATGATGTGAAAAGGACCGCCATTTACGTAAGCTGTGTTGTTATGGTGTCATTGACAATGCTCTTCAGTTGCTTAAAGGGACTGGTTCACGATAATGCGCATGCGCGCCGTTTTTCTCTTCAGAATAAATTTGTTGGGTCAACACTAAATTCGAAATCGCCATTACCGGTACAATCATTGACAATCCTTCCTTTTATTCGGACATCCGTCGCTTTGGCTGGTCTAGTTATACTTCGGTAGTGGTGATTAACGTGTGGTTGTGTCGTTTGACTGGTTACGTTTTAAGAAGACGCAAAAAATATATAATGTTTTTATCATGGAGGTTCAGAAGAGCATCGTGGCCGTCCGGCAACAGGACGTTCTCAAGAGGCTCTGGAGATAGAGAAGCTTAGCCTATGGATCTGGTATGGTTCTAGGAGTAGTGTGTGGCATACGAAAAGAATACACGACACTTGGAACAACTTTGATTCGATTTTTGACTCCTACCTGTAGTTATACCGCAACAGGCCGCGCGATCTTCACCGATCTGGTACACTTGAAATGTTCCTTGTATCTTTCCTTTACGATCATATATGTTTAAGAATTGATGTTTTTAAAATAAATTATTGCCTGAATATTCTGTTCATAATCTAGTTTCTTTATGTGTGCTACTCGATAACATTTGTTTTGCGAAACACTGACCCGATGCAACGCGATTGAATTTGTTCATTTGCTGATAAGCAATTGAAATTAATGCTCAGTTAAGGATAATCTTTATACTCATACGTTGCGTGTTTTTGTCACTGGTCAGGCGCTATTTGTAGGTATTTCTGGGTTTATACAAGGCGAACTGAGAGAACAGTAATAAGATGTTTGTTTACAAATTTTGTTTGCCGATCGGTGACTGCTTTGTTAGCGTGGGTACGACCTCGTAAAAATACACGTTGGTAAATGTTTGTTTCAAAGCAGGACAGGGCTGTAGATCTTATTCTTATCGGCTGCAACATATATCTGAGGAGTAGCAAAGAATAAACTTGAATTATGGGGATAAATAAAATCAAACCAAATGCCCGGAAATACTCTCGCGTCGCGAACAATTAATTTGAATTTTGTAGTTTTACTTGCGTGCATCTAACTCGCTTCCGATTGGTTGAGAAACAATCAGCTACTGTAAGAACTCACACATGCGCATTATCGTGAACCAGTCCCTTTAAATCATATTTGACTGACAGAACACAGAGATGTTATGTACATGGAGTCTTATCCACAGAACAATATGTATCATGTGGCATTCCCCAGGGCTCTATACTTGGACCACTATTGTTCATAATTTATACAAACGATTTTCCCAAATGTCTACGGCAATACAACACCTGGTATGTTTGCCGATGATACATATATAACTACAGTTCATGAAGATATATCCGCAATTCAAAATTCTTTAAATAGTGACTTAACTGCAGTACATAATTGGCTTAAGACAAACAAATTGAGTTGCAGTACTTCTAAAACTAGTTATATGACAATTGGCTCTCGGCAAAATTTGGGAAATGTCAATAGGAGCTATAAGAACAGCTGCTGGTTTCAATGAGCAGAATAAATTGCTTATCCTATTTTCTCATCTCAGCCCTCCAACGCCACAAGAAATATTCTGGGGAGAAATAAAAGACAATACAAGGATGCATCGTAGACCGGAGATCGCTTTGGAACGAACGTTTTAGGATAAAGCGTCTGTAAACTATTTGGTTAGCGATCTACAAATCTTAACTTGAGCTCCTTATCAGGCGTCAACACGGAAGTAACCACTGGAATTGCTTCATTCAGTGACTCAAGCCAGAAGTTTTGCGACACCTGAAAGTATAGATATGTAGATTAACCTGCTCGTGTTTCCCGCGGTTTCTTTTATATGAGAGGGTACCGTAGGGTTGCCCAAAGAGGAGGTTTACCCTGTTCACTCGTTACATTATCCCTTCGAGGAGCACTTTCCCGATTAGATGTTGTTCTAGGTAAATAGGGTTGCCTCCAGAGAAGATTCAATTACGCGGGATGAGGTTACAGATAAAACCGCGACAAAAAACAACAACAACAACAGCAACAAAACATCAATTCAATGGCCGATTTGTCAGAATTTGCGTCGTCTATTTCCGTTAAAATTCCTTGACAAACCGCACGAACTTAGGCGGTCAATAACAAATTTCGCCAACACTACCTGAAATGCCTTGAAAAAAGCGCGCTAGGCTATACACCCACTTATTGTAGAAAGACCTATTTGCAATCGAGGCCCATTTACACGCAGTTGACACATTTAGTGCAACTGAGCGTGGATTCAAGGGATACGAATGACTGAATGCATACCTGTGATAGAAGAAGATGCATCTCCAATTTAGCCACACGGCGTCCTGTGCAATCAAAATAATAACAACAAAACAAAAAAAACACTGAAAATGTCTAGGAAATAGGTTTTAAGCTTAATGTCTACCGGAAAGGGCAATGGGCTCCCAAACGAAAGATATTGGGATGTCTGTCACCTTATTTAGAGATGTAAAATTGAACATTTAAAAGGGTGCGTTCCACTGGGTTGATCCGGATCAGGATCAGTGATACAAGACCTCCTGGATCATATGACATCAAAGGAAACGACGAATGCATCCTGGGAAAGGATTCATTGGTTCATCTGATGTACCATGTTCCGAGTCATCTCGGATCGCTGATCCTGATCCGCGTCATCTCAACGGAACGCACCCTGGTATCAATCAGGTTGTCCAGGAAGGAACGTCATATTATGACCCATACATGTATAAAATGAGCCAGGAAAGGAAACGAAGAAAGGAAAAAAGAGAAAAGCCGATACAAAACCTCATTAGCTCTTATTTAGCCGTCCGCGGAGAGATTGTTCCCGGGCCTTAGCGGTTTAATTCCAGTTTTCCAACATCATCCCATGCTCCATTCCTATGGGAGTCATCTCCCCACCACGAAGTATATATTTCTTGTCTATCGCAAATCTTTCAACGGAAAACATGAGCCAAACAGGACCTGCCCTTACCGAATGGAGCCCTAGATCGAAGTTTAGATGAGAGCTCTGACGCGTGATGAGCGAACCAGGTGGGCTATTTAACCGATTGACTCCGCCAATACTCGCAAAATTGCCGTTGAGGCTCCTAAAATCCTCTAACAAACTGAGGAACAGCGAGTTACAAATGACATTGAAAATGGTCTTGCTCGCAATATTTCTCACCGTAGCTGGATAGTTAGCGCGCTCCGGCGTCTAGTGTCTTGGATCACCATGGGTTTGAAAGTTGCGAGAATAGGATTTTTCTACAGCTCCGTGTTAACGGAAGCAAAATTGTGAACCAAAAACTCGCAACATTGAGGAGTGTTTACATGTTGCGCTACGTTTGAAAAAAGTCAAACTAATTTACTTTGAGCCAACAACTCCCAACATTTCTTTTGTTCCATGATCGCCGAAGCGTGGCGCAACAATGTTGGATCCGTTTGCACAGCTCTTTCAAAATTTCTGGGGCCACGAACGTGCATTTAACTGTCGAGTTTTGTAATTTTACAAAGTTTTATAGCTCGTATCCTTTCCATAATTTCCAAAGTCGTTGGGAATTGTTGCATCCCCCTGCAAACCACTGCCGACACTATTCATCAACTCCCAACATTCTGGGGCCAACAATGTACGGAGTTGTGATTAATGTATATGAAATAAATCATATAAGTTGTTGGGTCCGTTTGCACGTAGCTTATTTTCAACATTGGTAAAAGGATAAATTCTGAAAACTTTGTAGCGTAAGCGCAAATATATCGCTTCTCGTTTTGGAATGCGTATAACCCGAATGAGTTGCTTTTCCTCTCACCCAGTTAGTAAAGTCCTGGTTATCAAACACATTTTCTTGGAACTAAATGTAATTCAGGCAGGTTAAACTCAAGACAATCCTGGTAATTGGCCTTCTAATTACTGCGGCGTGGTTTGAGGTTTTTCACAAGGACTCAGTAAATTTACCATGAAATTTACAGCTCTTCTGTTAAGATCAGCCATTTCGGTTGCATTGCTCTTCGCGAAAGAGGGGTTTGCGTTTTTGCTGCACTCCCTTGCCACTGAGAATTCAGGGTGACAGTGTCTGGTGCCTGTTTCTCATCAGTTGTCATGATTACCTTCTGAGCTCTCTAATTGGCTCACAGAAGAGCTTTCAGGTAAATTTCAGTGTACAAAAGTGCACTTACCAATGCACATTCTGGTACCAAATCCAAAGGGGAGAAAAGCAAACGCGTGGTAAGGGGACTTGTGTGTATCGTCCCTTAGCCATCGCTCGGGTTTGTACTCCAGCGGGTCCTCAAACAGCTCTGGGTTACGACCCATGAAGTACTGAGGGATACGAATCATTGTCTGGAGAAGCGAAAATACATCACCAGTTACATGGAAGGACGGTATTTTTAAGACAGTGCAAACCAATACGTTACAAGGTCCCAGATGGGTTACCGGTTACTGAGGTAATGGGTGCACGCGCAGATACTGATGAGGGGCGATGGAGCCACATGAAAGAAGTAAATGATTAAACCCTAAAGTGCTACTCAGAATGCGTCTTACATGAAAAGTTGCACGCATTGTTGCCCATTTAATGAATAAGAATTGTCTGCTGCTTCGTGTACGATTACAACATCAACAAACGAAGCTTCACTGCAGGGGTCAATTCTATGAAACTTTTACAAGCGTAATTTAAATGTGTTAGCTACTGTTTTTCAAACTCTAGCAAAATAGCTACTCTTTAAAATTACTCGAGTAAAACTTTCATTCAACTGACCCACGATGTGACGATAAAACTCCGCACATACATTGTAGAAGCACCCTAGGCGTGTTGGGTTCAGGGCTCGAAAAAAGTCCCGTCCGGTAGTCCGTGACAAGTGGTTTTTCTTGCCGGGCAAGTAACTTTTAAAGCTTACCTACCCAGGGTCCAGTCAAGTCATCTTCTAATAAAATCATTAACTAAAAAGTGAGCTGCTTGCCCAAAGGAAAAGCTGGGATTCATGCTTTTTTGTTGTTGTTGTTGTTTTTTTATTCTGTCTTTGTTTTTTGAACGTAACCCTGCAGGTAGTTTTTTCGACAGACTTACGTTAGGAGGAATGCGATAGCCTTGAATGACTATTTCTTCGGAGAGAGATCGAAAATTTTCATAGGCGACTGGATACAACCTACAGAAGAAAACCGAGACTAAATTAATACCATACAAATAACTGAATTCTTAGTCGCTAAGTAATAGAACTCACTATGCATCAAGTAATAACACCCAGAGTGAGAGTACGCAAAAAAAATGAATTAACTAATTAAGTAAAAAGGGGGGAGAATAAGAAGAACAAAAGGGAAAAAAACGGTTACGTTCCGGGCCTCAATTACGTCCGTTAGGGTGTAGAAATACAAGGTATGTAGGTAGGGTATGGTAGAAGGCAACCTGTGTACATACACGTAAGCTAACGTACATGGAAGTGCAAATTTATTTGTTTACATCCATGCTTTATATTCTAAGAAGCTTTGGGGTCATACATACCTTAGAGTCTCTTTGATACACCCCTTTAGAAAACGCATTTTCTTTATGGTGGAAGCTGTTGCACGCTCTCCTGGTTTAAGAACTGAAGTGACTTCCTCATGCAGTCGTTCTTGCACGTCAGGGTTTCTTGCTAGCGAGTATAATGTCCACAAGATCGTGATGGAAGTCTGCAGAAAAGAAATACCAGCTGAAGTACCGGTTGAAGTATAAAGCCCTCAGTAGTTTTATATTGAAACGGAACTCATTGAAACCAATCGCCAAGAAAACCTTGGTGGAGTAAACGCAACTTAACAAAAGATTCTTCGTGTTCACTAATAACAATACTTCTACGATCATTGCCCTCTTTTGTGATTTAACGTTTAATTCTTGAATAAGTGGTGTCGATCAGCGCATACTTCAGGATTTTTCTTCTTTACCTTATGAATGCGAGTTTGCAGAGTTTTTTTTTTGTTTGTTGCAAAAAAAAAAAAAAAAAAAACAAATAGATTCCATGTTACCGCGCCTCGACTTCAAGTGTGGTAAGAACGAAAACCGGTGGCACACAATGCGCATACGAGTGTGTCACAAACGTTGAATTGACGTGCTCTGTTATTCATTACTGAACAGACTGACGGCAAAATGAAACATATTCGTTTTATACAATAAAAAGGAAAGAAAAACTACAAACTTGTTGAGCACCACCTGACTGTTCAAGGATAGACATTATCCAAGTTACAAACGCCACGTTTCCTCCCTTCTTCTTCTTTTCTTCTTTATTTAATTGTTAAATTTTTCCCCAAAAAGTTTTTCAAAGCACAATTTTTAACAGCAAAAAAAAAAACACGACTGCGAGCGAAATTTGCTGCGCACGATGACACAGCAAATTATCAGAATTATAATAAAACGCGCTTAAAATATATATATATTTTTCATTTCACTCTTCGATACTTAATTACTCATATTTAGTTGTTCATTTTTTACTAAGTCATACCGTTTCTATAGAGGCCATCAGTATTTCAAGCAAGTTTACTTTAATTTCTTCAAAATTAATATCATCTCTGCTGATCAAGAAGGTCAAGAACTCTGCAGCATCTTCATCTCCAATGTCTCCCTTTTCAAGTTTCTCTCGTATCTCATCCAACCTTTTCTTAATGGACCTATCAGCAAAGTTGTACATCGCATCCATAAGACGATAGAATTCCTTAAATAATTTTGGCCTGTAAAACTTATCAATCCAGACTGGAATGGTGAAGACTTTTAACATTATCGGAAATAATTCCTCTGTGGCTTCAATAAACTTTGCAGCCTCGGCGGAAGGCGACTTGCTAAAAGAACCAAACCTTGTTTCAAACAGAACTGTTCCTACCGCTGTCAGATAAAATATAAAAAATAAAAATCAATAATAATAATAATAATAATAATAATAATAAAACTGACTGGTTAGCTCCTGACATTCAAACCAACGCTCACGGCCTTATTATAGAAACCTTTAGATTCTAGGACGAGAAAGATTAGGGGCCGACCATTTAACTCTTGAGGGGAGGGGTGGGTGATTTCTGGTCATCAAGAATTTTTTTTTTCTAGCAATCTGGTGGGCAGGATATTTTTTTCCCTTTTTTTCCCATAAGCTGTCTGTTACATTTGTGCTGCATGTAATTTTTCCTTCCGACAAGCGCTTGTAGGAAATTTTTTTTTAAAATCACCCACCCCCTTCTCAAGAGTTAAATGGTCGGCCCCTTACTCCCGTGGGTGAGCCAGCGTCATTTTGGCGGGAAAACGTGATAGCCGTCGTCAATCTACCACGAATTTAGCAAGAATACCGTACTGAAGATTTATCATTTTCTGCATTTTGCGATCGGGAGAGAGGGCTTAACTTCCTTCTAGCTTTTCTGGTGAATCAAAAGCACAATGAAGCCTTAATTCTGGGGTGTCTATTTTGAGAATACGCGAAAAAGCTTTCAGTCAAATGTCATACTCGTAGTCGTTCTCGTCCCCGAATCTAAAGGTCTCTAATGATTGACGGAGGAGAAAGAACTGCCTCCTAGCATATTGCACCTCCTAATCATAAGACATTCTATTCTTCCCAGATAAAAATGAAAACCAAAGGCCTTGTCTCGTTTGAAAAGAGTGGGGCAAAAAGACTGGCGGAGAAAAAAAGTTGATATAGTTGAGGCCATTTCCCAGTAGAAAAGCCCTCACTTTCAAACCGAGGCCACGGTGTGCAAAACCTTTCTCCAGAAAATGAGAATAGTCAGTTTTATTTGCATGAAAACAGAAAAACAAAATGGTTTACATATCAATGACTCCGAGTTAGCCTCGCTTTGAAACAGAGGCTTGGGGCAACTCGGAAATGGCGTATTTGAAAAGTAAACTCACTCTCCATTTGAATATGTCCCTTAATATACCTTGTTTGCCTCCAACATTTTGCATTTGTATTGTCTTCATTTCCTCGCTGGACGAATGTATTCAAATTCCCAAGAGAAATTAAAAGAAAGGTAATGCAAAATGGCAAACAAGGTTGATTTATAGGAGGTATGCAAATGGGTGAATTTTCAAGTTTTAGTAGATAAAACGTGCTATATAAACTCACATTCCAAAGACCACTTGAAGAGTTCATCCTTAATGTTGGGAATAAGTCCTTCATCATCACGAGTTTGCTTCAATCGTGACAAGAGATCAGACGAGACTTCATTAAATCCTTGTGCATATTCACCAATAACTTTGGGCTTTAACATTTTCATGTTCAAGATGCGGCGAACTTTGTACCATTCTTCACCACGTCTGTTGCAAAAAATGGTATATGAATGTAAGCCTTAGATCCAGTACCCATATCAATATTATTGACAGTTGTGACAAGGAAGTAAGAAGCACATCATGCGCATGCCCTTCGACCGGATCAATTCATTTGCAGGGGGGTCTCGTACCCAGAGCCCGTCGTTTCTTGGTCACGTGGTCTTGAAACGCGGGGCTCTGGAAACAGCCGTTACCGGATGTCAGAAAATTTCTGACATCCGGTCACGCATGTGCAGAAGTTACAAATATCACTGCTCATGGTCGTAAGGGATTTTTGTCCCTCACCGCGCCTCTAGGGAAAAAACTTTACTTCCTAAGCTCTCTCCAGAGAGTGGCTTCTTTGGGCTGTTTTGAAAATACAGACTTCACTCAACTAGGATTCATTAGGAGAAGACATAAACAAAAACCAGCTGAACACACTGTTGGATTTAAGAACTGAGACAATTAATCGGCAGATTATCGTCTGGGTTTAATATGTGAGTTCACGTTTGGCGAAAACAAAGACTGAGAAAGCAAGATCGCGGAGATCGAAGATATTTTGTTCCATGTCCTGCAAATGCTATCTTTAATATTGAAACGAAACAATTCATGTGTTGTGTTATTAAAGTGGACAGGAAAACAAAATATATATATATTCGTTTCACTCTACCTAGTTGTGTTTTTCCCTATGTTTATTTCCTTTTGAGGTGTCGAATGGTAGGTTTTAGTTTTGCCCATGAGCTTTTGTATACAACTTGAGTCAAGACAACCGAAGGTTTATGTCAAAACAAATCAATATTTATCATTTTGCTGTCCCAAACAGGGTAAAAAAACAGTACAAACTTTGTCCAGGGTAGATATCTGAGAAAGTCTCTTACACTTCCATGGACTAGAAAACTGAGTGAATCAAATTCCAGTTCAGTTCTTCTGCATAACAACCCTAACTGAAACCTGATTCACTCAGTTTCCTAACCCTAATCAGAAAACTTGAGGGTCATTTGGTGTTTATGGTGCCCATCAAGTGTTTTGCGAAATGGGACCTTTATCTATTAGAGGCTTATCCTCCTAAGGATTTCAGTTACCCTCTTTATACTACTACATGAGAAATTTCTGCAATTTGATTGGCTTAGAGCAGTGGTATTTCAGCTTAATTTGAAATACCTACATGTTAAAATTACAAACCTTGCGGGTAGTAGTATAAACAATTAATAGCATGATTTGTAGGTGACATTTGGCATAAATACCACTCGTGATATATCAAAATTGTCTCAAATTTCACTCGCCTCACGGCGATTACGTATAACAATTTTGAAATATCACTCGTGGTATTTTTGCCAAATATCACTACAAATCATGCTATTACCTATACAAATACCATCATCAGTACCTCAAAGACCGAGTTGTCAATAATTTTGCTGTCAAACTGGGAAAATCATCAACGCCTGAAATTTTTCAGGAATGTTGATTGTGTATTGACCAATCACAATAAAGTTCAGGACACATGAGCAAACCTCAAAGGGGTAAGGGTTTTTAAGCTTTTTTTTTTTTTTTTCGAAATAGGAGAGGCTTATATCTAAGGGGCTATATAACTGGAATAGAAAAAGCGATTCGAAACAAAATACTTTTTGCATTTACTGGTTTTTAACTAAGCTTCAAAATGTAATAGTAGAAGCTTAGGGGAGGGCTTATAACCGGAAGCACATTTTTTCTTGTTTACTCCTCACTATCTGAATGCCTAGAACAGGTTATCATAAGCATATAGTTGTACTTTCTTATCTGGAGCAGTGAAATGTAGAGTGATATACACTTTATATGGACTGTATGCTGTAGAAGATGATCACCCTCTTAAGAAGCACTCTTTGAGTATTACACAACCCAAAAGCATTTTCTTGGGTAGCTGCTCTCATCATGTTTTGAATGTGGAGTGCAAGGTCTGGTTTGAAATTGAGGATAGAATTTTGGATCAGACCTGAAACAGGATAGGGAAAATCACATAGTTTGGTCAAAGTCTGGCAAGGTAAGAAGCATACTGCATGCAGGGCCAACCTGAACTGATTTTTTTTTTGGGGGGGGGGAGGGGGGGTAATACAGTTGTATTGAAACTGAATGTGGTGCTTTATAGAGTTAAAGTACAATATCTACTCACGGCTATAATTGTTTAGTTCCCTTAGAACTGGTTATTTTGTGTTATAATGTGAGGGTTTCCAACTAGGAAAGTTACCGGAAGCAAGTTTTACTGTGGCTCATTGTATGTCAATAACCAAGTAAAGATGCCCTACGCTTCAGTAAGCTAAGGCTTTGTGCAAGCTCCAGGAGGGGGTGGAGAGCAGGTGTGGTTATGATTAGCTACTAAACTAGAATTCTGCTGTTGCTCAAGCTATTATGTTACCCACCCTATCAAAGGTGACATACTGCAAAATCCAGTTGTTATCATCAATAACCACTTGCCCCTGCAGTATGATGCAAATAGACTACTCTAGGCTGTTGTTCATTTATTATTTTATTAATCAACACCTCAGTTGTCCATAACATTGTCAATAAATCTACATTAGGCCAGTTTTCATATAATGTATGCCTAATTTTAAGAGTTTCTTAAAAGTTTTCTTATATTATAGAACTTTTAAACCAAATTGTTGTGAACATTGTGCTACCTTTAATATTTAGTGATTAGATAAATAACATCATTATTTATCAAGAAAAATTGTGAAATAGCTGCTTCTTTGTTAACTGTTCATTATAAACAACCCCGCCCCCTGAGAGGCCCTTGTTTGTCTTTGTCTAAAAGCTACATGACTGGAAGACAAGAAAGGACTGTTAGGATGATAATATGTTCTTGCAACACATTTGCAACAAGTCGGCCACAGAGCCTTTCCTTTCACAGCCTAATTCTTACTTCTAAAATAAACATTATCAGAAGGCCTCTAGAATCATCTAAGCATGATTAACGCATTAATTCAGCGGAAGAAAATGTAGATTGGAAAGAATACTTGCCCGATCATTATACAAAAATTGCCTTATGCATGCAGCCCGAAAGATTCATAAGCCATTCAGTTCTGGCTTTGTGCACTGACATCAGTGCTCTAATGAATAAAGGCTTGTAACAGAAAACTATCTTGACCTATAAGTATAGCAAAGGAGATGTATTTTAGCAGGAAAAACATTAAATTAAAAGCACGGTGTAATAAACTTATTAAAACGTACATATCATTTCTGTGATGTAGTCCTTGAGCTTGATTTCCTCTCTTACTGTGTAGCACTGACGAATACCCAGAAGAATCAGACAGACTGATTAGACTAAAAAACGCCATACAAGTGTCGATTGCTCGATTTTTGACTTGTAATCTATGTGAGCAAGGGTTAGCCATTCACTCGGTCTCCTCCTTTCAGTTTCCCCGAATGCGACGGTCGATACAAAGGCAAAGTTTAGCCCACAACGAAGGCAAACGTTCTCTGTCAAGGCTCGTGGTCTCATAAAAAACTTCTCAAACCTGACCTTCAATTCTCTTCTTCACTGCTATTCAATTGCATTCAATTGCTAACAAAACAGAATTGTCTTGATCGACGTAAATCAGACACGGATTTCATGTTTGCAGTTCGAGACGGCAGGAAGTAAAATGTTATGCGCCGTAGATTATATTTTTAATTTGCTCTGCGCATTCAATTCACTTTAGCCAATGAAAAAAATCGTATTTTCCGTTGCGTCCAGAGCCACTGGTCGGTTACCAATTAAGCCGAGTGGCTCTGGGGACAAGAATGCTTGCAGGTAATATAAGTATAAACATAGGCACGTTTTACGTGCTTGAGCTATTTTGAATGCTTCAGCGTAACAGTATCGGCAATCTACTGTCTTAATCCTAAATTAAGGCTATGTTTTGTGCGAAATTAGGTATTGCTGTACATTAATGAAAACGAGAACCAAAGCGCATAGCTGATTCGATCTGATAAATTCACTTTTCTTTGTCTTTCCTTCAGACATCTGGTGCAAAATAAACAAATTGTTAAGGTACCATGAATATCAACTCACCAAACGTTGTTTAGAGGGAAGACTCAAAGGTTTCAAGGTTTCTTCGTGGTTTCGTAAAATAATGAAGGTCGTCGAATACCGAATAGCTAAGATTTTCATCATTGTTGTAGACGGTTGCATCATCACTATTCACGTGGTTAGCACGTGCAATTCTACTTTAATGAAACAGTCTTTAACTCTGACTTCTTAATTCTAAGAGTGTTATGAGTTTTTGCTTCTTAAAACAAAAAAAAGCCTTTGCTTAGGCACTAGTTACAAAACTAAAGGTGTCTTCATACGTCCAAGTTGCTATTATTACTGTGAAAAGCAAGCATGAGATGTAGAATCACACAGTTTGCACGTGAAAGTGTCGGACTTTGCCCCTCTCGTGGTTCGTACGTGAGAGAATTTGAGTTATCACACAGTAATCCAGTAAACAGAATTATAAAAATAACTCATGAACTCAAATTGTTTACAATAAAATTTCCTAAAACGATTTTTAAAAATCACCTCGGCTTTACAATACATGTATCTGCAATTAAATTACGCTTCAAGCAACGTTAAGATTGATAGCCTGATATTCATTTCCTTCCAAGAAAATTATCAAAATGCTAAAATATATTTCTACTCATATCATTTTATTCCACTCAATAAAACAATATCTAATTAGTGTCAACTAGTTTCTTCTAATTTTATTCCCTCACGTAACTGCTTCTACTTAAAGTCTGGTTTCCATATGATCGCTACGATCGCTGTGATCACTGAGAAAAAAAAAAGTTCAGCGATCGCAGCGATCATAGCGTTCATATGGAAACCACTTTCCAGCGATCGCAGCGACAACGATCACTGAGATAGAACTTTTTATATCTCAGCGATCGTTGTCGCTGCGATCGCTACGATCGCTGAAAAGTGGTTTCCTTATGATCGCTGAACTTTCTTTTTTCACACCGATCGCAGCGATCACAGCGATCACAGCGATCTTAACGATCATATGGAAACCAGGCTTAAGTTACGCATCTTTACTAACAAAAATACGTTTCAATAACTATAACACTTAGTAAGCAGGAAGGATGTAACATGTTATTCACTTATTCATGTTTTAATTGCCGGAACGAAAAGGGTCTGTTGAACTTTGTACTTTGTAAGCGAGAGAATAAAGCTTGTTTACAGGATTAACAATACTCGGTACAACTTCCACAAAAATAAGCTGCCTTTCAAACATCTAAAACCACAATTCATAGGCCGCATACTTTCGAATTAAAGTCCATATCTAAATATCAATTATTGTTTGATTGGAAGAGCTTTGAAAATATATGATCTTTTATACTCTACCTTGAAGCACGTGAAACAGAACTCATAAATGCGTGCTTTGTACCGTTCGCGATAGCAGAATTCGGTGAGAAATGTCTTGAAGCAGCATCCACACTAAAATATGAACCCTTAAACAGCTGCATCACTGTACACAGCGTTTGAATCATGAAGATATTTAATGTAATGCTTCTAAACAACTGTAGCTGTAATAAAAAACGAAAAAATTGTGAAGAATCAAGATGGCGGTTTCAAAGTGCCCTTGTTCGACCTTTAGCAATGTCATGTTTAAATAGATGCCAAGATCCCATTGGTTCCTACGCATCAAATCATAGTACCTTCAACCTTATTGGCTCTTGCGCCAAACAACCGAATATACAAAGCCACAAAGATACAAAGATGCAAAGATACATACGCTCACACCACTGACATTTGAGCTATTTTTCAAAATAGCTCAACAATGGGTATTAAATTGTTTGATAAGGATGTAAATGAGGTCATCCGTCTCCTCGATTACCGGTAACCATATTTGTTGCATAAATAACTGACTTAAAGAAGCTGTGTCACGGCAGTCCAGTTCATTTTGTTTAATTTTGCCAATTACTCGCCCTCAATCGCTATGGAACTGAAAGTAAGCAAAGAAATTGCATGTCAATGACAAAATCAGAGACCCGAGACAAACATATATGTCTCCTGAGCATTATTATTGAAGTTGCAAGCGGTAGGGATCATCTTTGGAAAACTGTTAGGCTGAACAGTTTTCAAAAATCCTAATTTCAATCCGTTTCAGTCTTCTTCAATTTTGCCCTTCCGTGACATCTGTTGTTTCTGTTATGTTATTTTAACCTTCCTTTAACGTTTTAAGCGGTTATTTTTATGTTTCTCTTAATTTAACGGGCATTTTGTAATTTCCTAATTTGGCTGAATTTCGTGACACAGCTCCTTTAATAAGTAAAAATAACAAAACAAAACCAAAAAAAAAGACTTACAAGTTGAACAATCCGAGAGGCCGTTCTCTCTCGTCCTTGTACTTCATCCAGAGCGGCAAGACTGGTTGGCGAGCTGGATGCTTCCCTTCGTTTCGAAACAGGAACTGCACATCATCGGGATTCGAGATGGCCACTGTCTCGTAGTTTACGATTTTCTCTCGATAAATCGATCCAAACTGTTGAATCCGTTGTTGCTGCATAACGTGCATTCGTTTGTAACCCCTTACTCCTTCTCCTTGATCGCGAACATAATCAAGGAGTGTACCAATAATCGGCAAACCCTCTGGTCCTGGGATTTCTTTGAACGGTTTTGCCGCGATGCCTTCAGCGGCTTGAGCTTGCGTGGAACGAAACAGAAGGCACTTGCCTGCTTGTATATGTGGAGGCAGTTTTCTTTTATAAAAGGATTGAAGAGAGAAAGGTGGACGGACTGCAAACTTAAATGCCATGACCAAAGTTAATCTACTCTGCTACCAGTCCAATGCGTGACTGAGCATTAACAAAACAGCCTCCAGTTCGTCCATTCTCGTTCCTAGAGCTTCGATCCTTTTGGCCAGCGCCGGAGTACGCAAACCGTGGACTTCCGGTTCGACTGCGCAGTCGCAGGAAGAAAAAGGAAAATAATCTGAAAAATTCAGCAGTAAAATGTGCCACCGTTGCACAACTAGAATTTCGAAGTAAAAGTCTTTGTAGCCCGACCTTCAATGTCAGGAAAAGTTTGAAAAACTAATAAGCTTACTTGTAAGGTGAGAGGGTCTTGAGAATAAAGACGTTTCACAGTTTAAAGGATTTGGCAAATCGTTCAATAAATCGCCGTGTTTCATGGTCTGTTTGGAGAAAAACCGAAAGAGGAAGCACCGACTATTCTTATTTGTTTCATTGCTCAACGCTCTCTTTTAGGGCCAAAAAGTGAAAATGAGGTAAGGCTGTAAGTGCGTGTGTATTAGGACGGGATCGTGTGAGTATGAAAGATGATGTACTATGAGATATCACCAGCTCGCTTTTTAATACCATTATTCTCACCATAGTCTCCAATCCTGAGGTGATGACCACAAAGCGGTTTCTGAACTGCTGATTAGATTCTTGGAATTTAACTAAAAGTAAAAGCAACTGTAATATAACGTAACGCCTAGCTTTAACTAGTATGTCGAAAATGTTCTATAATTATATTTTGTGTTTAGCGGTGTTGAGTCATTTCTATATAAATATTAAATAATTTACTGGAATAATTATTTTGAGTGAATTGAAGTAAACTTCCGTCAAGCAACTAATGTGCAGTCTTCAAACTGAGGGATCATATGAAAATTATCCTGGGAATGAAGACTGAAAATGAAAAGGGAAAAATCCCCATGGAAATGTTAGGGCAAATAGGCAGGATGCCATCATCTAATGAAAATATAGGTAACCCCTACTCTTTACCCACTTTCACCTCTTGAAAATTTGGAAACAAATTGTCCAGCGTTTCCTAAATATTTTCTGAAAAATAGCTTCGGTTACTCAAGAAGTATTTTGGGTTCCCTTCCTCAAGAGACACATGTTAGGTCTTCTGATACTGATGTCAGAAGAATATGTAGTATTAAGAAACGGTCCAGATAAGAACGATAGCAACAACGGCAACGAACATGTTGGAATGCAAAAAAGGTGCTAACTTTTCTATTGTCTGTACTTACTTCTGATTGGCTTACACAGCAAAAGTTAACAAAACTTCATAAGGTAGTACATATATTCATCCTTACTTTCCAACCATCTTCCATATAACAAAATCTGGTCTCAGTTTGAATAACAAAGAAATCCTATGTGGGGAACATGTAAAATTGTAACCTTTTCTTGGCTATTGTTTTCAACTCTTGAGATTGGTCAAAATCTTTTAACACAAAAAGACACCCTTTCAAAGGGGATTGTAAATGCATTTTATTGCGTAAACGGCCTTCATGTAGGCTCGTACATCCTCTGTGTAAAAATGAGAACATTCCTATGTGGGGAAAGCACGGTTGCCGCATAGTAAAAGAAATTGTTATCCTCCTTACCCGGATCATTACTTAATAGCTTTTTTTGCTTGGTGATTTTTTTGCTTATTCCCATGACCATTCTGTTTGATCACAGGCTGCAATATTGTAAGGGCTATTAGATACTTGTCACACTTGGTGTTGAAATATACAGTGCACAAGCCAGCTTCAACACACTGTATTAAAAATACTCTTTAAAATTCAAATGTCAGCCTGTGCCATATGTTTCCAGTGCCTCCTTGTTAATCAGGAAAATATTTTAAGACTCCAGATACTTTGTGGTGATTAACTCGCGTTATGAACTAGAAGGGACACAAATCTACCTAATACAATAAAGGTTGCTTTGGTAATTTGGGCCTACAGAACAGTGCAATGATTTGCTCAAGTGATCATTAAACAATGGACCATTACCAATGCCCAAAGCAACCTTTATTGAATCAGCTTTATACATATCATAAATTGCATATCATTTCTTAACCCTTTAAGTCTCAATAGTGACTAACAGCAATTTTCTCCTAACGATATCCATACATTGTCATGAGATGAGGTTATGAGAATTAATAAAATGATCACCTAAGAAAAAAAACTTTGATCTTTTATCAAATTCTCTTAACTAATTCTTAAATGAAATGTATAGAGATCAGTTTGGAGAATTTGTATGTGTATATTGGGGCTTAACGGGTTAACCTAGGTTGATTCTCAATTTCCTTTGCCTCCTAGCACTAATTATTATTCATGGCTAGGAGGCAAAGGAAACAGAGAATCAACCCAGGTTAAAAAATTTTAACCTGAAGTTAATTTTGACCTGTAAGTTTGACTTTCTGCATCCTTTCAGCTTCAGTTCACTTTTTTTTCACACTTCAAGATTTCCTTAGTCTCCCTTACAGCTGTTTTTAGGCTCGTCACGCAACATTTCTCCCCAGTGTTGCGTGATGAGCCTAAAAACGGTTGCGAGGGAGACTAAGATTTCCATAAATTTACAAAAAATCAGCTGAAATAAAATTTTATGAGAATAAACAAAAATAAATGGCCTGTGGTTAACACCACCACATGCCATGACATACATGGCATGCATTGGAATGAAAGGTTTACAGCTAATATTTACAGGAATGTCCTTGACAAGCATCTTTGTCAATGATTTTCATTAAATGATAGCAATGAATGGGTTACATGACAAGCACATCCTAGCTAGTGAATGTGGTGTTTTCATGTGATGCTTAATTTTTTTTTCTTTTAAGAGCTTTGAAGCTATGAAATCTAATTTGCACAGTATATTATTTTTGGAGCAAAAAGTACCTATTTGTTGCTTGAAAAGCAAAAGTAACAAAGAAGTCTTTGTCTTCTCCCCACTACTCTAAATGTGCAGGTTCTGTAGTGGGGTTGGGGAAGGGGGTACAAGAACAGTCCTACACATGTAAATAATAAATGTGAGCAACACAAAAACAAGGGCTCCAAATTTATGCATTAATAATTAATGCACGAATCTATTATTATTATTAGGCCAGTTAATTATTTTAAGACCCCGATTTGTCATGTCAGGAAAGGCTGTTAAAGGGCATGCTATTCAACAAGCTTGTCTCTGAAACAGGTCAACTTTGATTTGGGTCACAAGATTGTGAACACTGCAGTAACCCTCGGCGTTTTTTTTTTAAAGGTTTATTAAAAGGCTTATTTATAGTGGAAAGTGCACTTCGCTTACCCAGCTAGTTTACAGGCACTCCACTCAAATACTTGAAAAAATAATTCAAATACAACATAACAGGATTAAAAACCCTGACTGGCAAGAGGCAACCAGTTGGCTATTTACAAGCCTGGGCAAGGATTTGAACTCGGGATGACTGAGAACAAGTCCAGCAAGTGGCCAGAGCGGGACTCAAACCGTACTTGTGGACCACTGGATTTTTAGACCAGCAGGCAGACCACTCAGCCACACTGCCTTCTTTTCATATGTGCCCATATAGAGAAAAGTAGAGGGTCTGTGAACAGGCTAACACTGCAGCAGAGAGGTCTCAAAATACCTATCAGAATCTGTATGATTTATGTTCGACGAACTAAGTTAACTTGATAAAGTTAAAGTAGAGGGTTTCACAGACTTGAATTAATAATAGCCCATTTGAAAAAAGTACCATGATATTAGTACAGGCTCAGCCTTGCTTGGGCATGCTAACGTAATTATTATTCCAGTCCTCTTTGTTTGAATTATGAAACAATGTAAAATATGAAGCATTGCTGTGGTCATAGGCAAATGGATAGAGTATACAAATTTCTATGGTTCAAGCTGATGAACAGCACATGTAGCTTTTTTCAATGGTAACAAGTCATTCTTACAGACAAGCTTACATGAAACTATATCCAAAAGGAATTTTTTTAAATAATAGCTTTTTTAGCAGCTGATATAAAATGAAATGAAAAGGTTTCTTGTATTCTCTGCAGTCCTATGGTCAATTGCCTGTAGTTCTGTAGGCTCTGAGTTGGTAAAATTTTGCAGGTGAGGTTTATTGATGTGCTCAGATCACAGATGCTAACAGTGACACTTGTACTGTTTTTCCTTTCATCAATATTGCTGCCTACATACAAAAAATATTATAAGAAAACATTAAAACTTGCATCACTCATTCAATTAATAGCCTGTCTTCTAACAGCCTAACTTAAATTGTTTTGTAACAGTATTTTACAATTTAGGTTTTAACCTCCTGCCCCTATCTGCACCCCCCACCCCCGCCACAAACATGCTTGAAATAAATTAGTGGGGCATAACTAGAGGATTTACAGTAGGTGATCACTTACAGGAGATTGTCACACAAGGTTCTAATGGCCCACAGTCGATATATTAAAATTCTAACACGACTCCGAGGCTTTACGGACAAAAATTGTAAATTTTTCACAACTCCATTGTCTCACAATTCCCACTGGAGACTTGAGCTAAAAGAAGACCAAACCAAATATAGAAAAATGGCCAGAAAGCCTAGGAGTCAGGTTAGAATTTTAATATATCGAACGTGGGCTATTATGTCTTTAAATATTTTTGAACAAAACAAAGAAAAAAAATTAATGGAAAGTTCTTTGGGTGAGGAATTTGACCCCAGGGGCCCCACTCAAATATTTTAATGACGGGGGGATCCGAAGGATTTTCTTGGGTCTAACATTTTGGCCAAAAGGGATTTTTTTGAGTCTATGAAAGACGCCGGGATTTTTTTGGGTATTGTATTTTTCATCAGCTCAAATCAACAATAACATAAGCGCAATTTATAGTTTTGTTTTTGACCAAAACCAAAGTTGAAGTTGGCATGTTTTAGCTTTCCAGAAGATAAAAATAAAATTTGCTGATGCAAAAACACTGAGGGATTTTTTTGGGTATGCTAAAAAAAGTACGGATTTTTTTGGGCAAACAAATTCTGAAGTTGGGATTTTTTGGGGTATAAAATATGAACCTCTGTCGGACCCCCCGTCATTAAAATATGTGAGTGGGGCCCCTGGGGATTTGACTCTGGCATCAAGGAAATGGTTTAATTCTCCGAGGGTAGTC